GTCCAATCAGATGTGGCCCTCCAGACACGCCCATTTTACTATCGTCTAATCAGATGTGGCCCTCCAGACATACTCATTTTAGTATCGTCCAATCATGTGTGACCCTCCAGATACGCCTTCCGATTTTGTCTGCAGAGATACCTACTTGCACTTCAGCTCCAAACATGGAGATGCTGGAGGTCATTTCATTTTTATTTTTAACAACGATAAAGACTCTGCCACAGTCACACAAGCACAATACCAACATTTTTATTAAATCTCTTCAACGCACATTTATCAATCTTTATTTGAAAACATGCAAGCATAAATACATTTTAAAATCCAGATACTACAGAAAGTTGATGAATTAAAAAGCTGTTTTTTACCACAGTAAAGTAGTTTCTTTACACTAGTCACTGAAGTTCTTCGGTGTGTGTCACCAAAAGCCTAATTTGACAGCAGCGTTGCAAAACGCCACCAGGGGTCACTGTAACTGAAGCTTCAACAAATGAACCTGATTTTGAAACATTTGGCCCAACTGGTTCAACGCTTCGTAAAAGCTTCATGTGCTCATCATCACTAACTTCCACCAGATATTTTATTTGTAAAACTGACCGAGTTAGAGCCATGCTTGTGTTAGTCAAATGCCAGTTGGCTGTGGTGGCCATCTTGGATTGAGCTGGTTCCATAAGTTAATCGGTCAAATATGTACATTTCCTGCAAGTTTCAATAAAATCTGTGCAGCGGTTCATGAGAAGTTTTGCTAACAGACACAGTTGACTGAGTAGAAATAGTAGAAATCCTAGTTATTCATTTACAAAATTAACATGTTGCTTTCCAGTATTATATAAACTTTAAAAAAACAAGGGGTAATTTTACTGGAATTATTTATTTAGTATTCAGTCTCAAAGTATAAAAATAAAAAATAAAGATCCTTCTGTTATTTAAATTGAACAAGTCTGCACAAAATATAGATCAATAAATCCACCACAAAAACTAAAGAGCAGTTGAAGTTTCCCAAAATAACTGAATAAAATGAACCTTAAGATCTGTTGATCATAAATGTAACATACAACAAAATATGGTAAATGTTAAATGGACTGTACTTATACAGCACATTTCTATTTTATTTCAAGATACTCAAAGCTCTTTACAACAATCTGTGCCTCATTGACCCATTCATACAGCTCTATACTAGATCTCTACAAAGATAACTGCACAAATCATTCTAAAGAGACTAATCAGAGCTTTATCATGTTCATACACTGATGGGACACACATCAGAGGCAACGAGGGGTTCAGTGTCTTGCCCAGGGACACTTCAGCATGTGACTGCTGGTGGATTCGAACCCCCAACTCTTGCATTAGAGGACGACTGCTCTAACCACTCAGCCACAGCCGCCCCGATATGTTTCTTTAAATGAGCTGTAACTTCCAGAAGTTGTATCAAGGTGATCAGCTGCCCCTGAAGCTTGAGGTGTTTCCTCTGTTCCTGCAGGAATGATTCATTTCTCTGATGCTCTGTCTCTGATCACATGACTGTCTCTGATCACATGACTGTCTCTGATCACATGACTGTCTCTGATCACCTGACTCTGTCTCTGATCACCTGACTCTGTCTCTGATCACATGACTCTGTCTCTGATCACCTGACTCT